TCTCAATATTAAATTCCTGAAATCATAGTGACTAAAATTCTTAGTCTAATGTTTCTTTGCTATTTTTTTAAGTAAATAAGTACAGTAAAATTCACTGATGATTTGTCTTCAGATAGAAAAGGCGGTAAAGCTTCTTTATGATCTAAGAAAGACTTGAATGACTAAACATACTGCATACCTTTTTTTAATCAAGAAATTTGATAGTAATCAAATAAATCTGACATGAATATTGGGGCATACACGTTTACCACTGATTAAAAAAGAAGAAATAAAAGGGAGATTGTATATTTTTCTGTTGGCATTTCTGGATGTTTGCTATGAATTTATATGGTTCTAAGCAGCAGATTTTTAGGAGTGATATAAAAAATGAGCCTCAAACTGGAATTTTGGGATATAAAGAGGTGGGGTTGGGGGGCAGTTTTGGTGGTTTTGGTTGTGTTGTGGTTTTGTTGTTTTTTTTTTTTTTTTGTAAATTCTTTGGATATAATAACCGCTCATTCCAGACTTTAAGGATTAAGGTGGTAAACAGTTGAGCTTTTTTTTCATTGTGACCCCTTCAGCTGGCACAGAACTTATTTTTGGACAAGATTTTACCAGAGCCCAGATAATTTAAAACTGCTTGTCTTGGGAATACTATCAAGTGATGGTTGTAGAAGACTAGTTGATAGGAAGACCATGTTGAAATCTAGAGCTGTCACAGTCCTTATCATCATGGATTCAATTCTGTAAAATATCAGAGTGGCTCAGTAGTAAAGGGAATAATTTTTTTTTAGCTTAAACAAAACAGAAGAAGTTATAAATAGTCAATTAGAAATACATTGATAAAAGAGAAAACCTTAATGTTAAGCTCAGCTAAAACTGCCTTTCCAGATGCTTTTAGAAGACTCTGGGAAGAAGTATTAATTTTGCAGAAAAATGCCTTCTGCTATACCTATAATTATAGGCTGATGTCTTGTTCCAAGCAGCAAAACTGAGTGACTTTTCTGATTTATTAATTTATTTTTATATTCCTCCCCCCGCTGTCTTTTTTCTCTTGGATAATCTTTCCTGTTTCCTTTTGTGGCTGGTAAAGAATTCTGAGCACTTCTAACTAAGCATCTGGTGCTGACAGTAACTTTTTCTTTGAATAAGAACTGGTTTAGTTTATGTGTGTTTTATTTACTGTGAAAGAAACCTCTTTCCAACAGGTCACAGACAATTCCACTGCAAAATGCATCAAACATTCAACAAAGGAATGTTCTACTTGTCTCCTACTTGAAATATGTATTTTATGAGGATGTAATATATCTCGACTCAAGTTTCATCTGCTGTGTTTGCTCAAGGAACTTAGCTAAAAGCTGAATACAAACTCTTCTGTTTCTCAGCAGATACGGTTTCTTGTATATTTGATTCCATCCACCAGATTCCAACTATAGGTCTCAGCACAGCTCCTTTGAATAGGGCAGTACGGTTTTAAACGATACATTCAAACATATTCCTTTGTCCCTGAAACTTGTCAAGCTGGTGATTCTTTGATATTTTAGTAGGGAAACCATTGTGGGAGATCTTGGGGTATAGCATTAATCATCTTATGAAGTCTAATTCCTATCACTGCTCTGAGCATCAGAGCATTAATTCATGCTTCCATGGCTTTCCTATGTAAAATATTGACTATTTAGATGAAGATATGCAAACCAGTGTAATATTTTTCCATGAATAAAGAGGGAGATAGCACATCTATTCATCATCAGATGGAGTCAGCTTCTGTAATTAATTTTCAACACCAGATATTACTGTTTTATCTGTCAGTTCCCTGTGACGATAGGACAACAAATAATCTTTAAAAGACCTTGTTACAAGTCATTCCTTTTCAGCGTGACTTTCGTGTGGACCATGTTAAGTAAAAGGATCAGCAAATGTAAAATATTACATTTTGGAGACAATAGAGGCCAAGCTTCTGGGTCGGGCACGTTTGTAATTATGAGTGGTTCTATCTGTTAAGGAAAATCAAGCGGGAGAAGATGTCCATAGCCAGGCCATTATCTGTGGCTTTCTGTTGAAATAAGGTCACACGTAGATTGCTAGATGTACCAAAGTTTCGATTTGCCTTGGGAGTTTTGTTCTTTTACTGTTTATACTAAAAAGTAACTGCCTCCTTTCAAATGGATGTATGTAAGATTTTTGCTTGGTTGCTCAGCCTGTTGCAGTTATTGAAGTCTCTTGTGCAGCCTAGCCAGAGTAATTTGGCAAAAAAGAAAAAAAGACTGTGAATACTGTCACTGTCCATCACTTCTAGACCAGTAAAATTAAAAACATCTCTAGTGGAGTATAATAATCTAGGAAAAATACTTAGTATTGCTTTTAGGGACACTTACCGTTAAATCAGGCTTTTATTTTAATGTTAAAACATATTATACTTTCTCTAAGTATTTCCAAATGGCCCATTGTGCTAAAAGAAAAGATTATAGGGTATTTGCAGGATCAGAAATTTTTGTCTGTTGAAAAGCTAACAGCAATGTTATTTTGATGGTATTTGAAAAATGTGCCTCAGACTGTGACCTGTGATACTTTGAAAGAAACTTCCATTAAATATTAACTGATGTTGCAGAGATATTTTGGAACTTGCAAGGGATTTTTTTTTTTTTGTGTTGCTTTTTTTTGTATGCTTCCTAGAATTGGCGTTATATGTGATGTAAGCCTTAGAAATGATTTGAAAGTGGATGATAATACTCTCATACCTATAGCTCTTAAATTCATCCACAGCCATTAAAACACCCTAACAATGGCACTCCTGTTTTGCTGTTCTCACCTACAAAAACCCCGCATCTTTGAAAAAATGATATTCTCTTGTTTCTGTTGCACTGGAGCTCCAGTCTTTCATATTCTCAAACTGATTTTACTCCCAGTGAGGGTGGTGATGCTTACTGTTCTTGCTAAGCCCTACCTAGATGTAATTCAAAAAGAAGTAGTCCAGACCATTAAATCAAACATTTTTTAGCTCTGGTCCTGTCATCCAGCATGCTGCGTTCACTTTCATGTTGGCATCATCGGCAGGTTTAATAAACATCATCTCTTTTCCGTCATCAGTCTTTCAATGAAATGCAAAGTAGTATTCTGCCAGAAGAAAATCCAGTCACTGCGTTCTTCCTGGGTGAAACAAGACGGGAACTAATCTTTTCTGAAGCTTGCTTCAGTCAGTTCTGCACACATCTGATAGTAGTTGTATCTAAATTATGTTTCTATAGACTGTTTTGCATGGTGCTCTCACAAGACACTGTGAGGCAAAAACCTTTCTAAAGTGAAGATAGGACATCTGTTGCTTCCCTTTAATTTGCAAGGACAGTTATCTAATTTCTATAATGATACTAGAAAAAATGTAGTGTATTCTTGTTGAATCAATGTAGGCTGTTAATTGTATCTATGTTAGATTCTAGGTGCACACAAGTGGTTTGATTATGTTTTCTGGTATTTTTGTAGAAACTTCATTTAAGTTAATTGTTGTGTGGCTGCTTCTTTTTGATGAAGCTACGTGTGGGCACAAATTTGATTAAATACTAAATGTAGCTCACTGAATAAAAACAATCTGAAGCTAGTGCACGTGGTTTCCTTAACTTGCAAGTGTAAAGAGAAAAGAGACTGTAGAGCCAGCATCTGAGAGAAGTGGCTCTCTGAAGCATTGTGAGTATGTTAGTGAGAATTAACATCGCCCCGTTTGCCCTGATGCCTCTTCTGCGGTAAGACAGATAGAGCTGCAGGAGTTACCATGTTGTATCTGATAGGGTAGGATCAGAATTTTTGTACTTTCTGGCCTACCCATCTTTTTGCTTTTGGCTGTGTGTGTAGCCCAGTAAGCATGTCTTTTGTTTCATTATATTGTCAGTAGTTTGTATAATCATACCAGTGATCTGATATATGAGCTTAGGCAAGTTATTTTACCTTTGTCTACCTTCTTTCACTGTTTGTTTGTCTAGAGTTGGCCAGTCTTTAGCTTTGAGCTTTAAGTGGCTTGCAACAAGCATTGCTCTTGTGCTGGGGCTATAAACAATTCCCAATGATAGTGGGCTGGCAAGAAGACTTCTGGGTTATGAGGGTCCCTTGATATAGAAAACAATGAACTGCTAAGGGCTTCCAGTATTTTTGCTACTGAGACCTGTCATATGCCCACCAGGCCACAGTGGTGAGAGCTCCAGGGACCATTCCTGCCAGTGAAACAATTTGTGTCACTGTTTCTCCTTTTGCAGCTGAGATACTTGGTTCTTTTTTATGCAAAGATTTTGGTACATGACTTAAAAGGTGTGAAAAAGTTGATCATCTCTGGCCTAGACACTAAACAGTTTTTCAGTGACTTTGTGTTCATCAAATGCTCGCTTATCACCGTGAGATCCAACTGCCGTTGCAGTGTTCCAGATAAACAGGAGATATGAAATGGTCACAGGTCATGAACTTACATGCTCAGTTGTCATAGCATCAAATAGCTGATTCTGAAACTTGCTCACCTAGAGGCTTACTGTGAGACTTTTCCACAAGCGAAAAAATAAAGGTTAAAATAGGTAAAAATGACTGAATGTTGATGTATTAAAACTAAGATTCATCACAGGTATCTGGATGGCAGGGATAGGGAGCATGAAACCATGTTACAGTGGCATAGGTAGAGAGTTGTGACCTGCAAAATTGTATACAAAGTAGAGAATTTGATGGCTTTGACTAACTAATTGATATTATTCTAATAACTCTCTCAAACCAGGGCATTTTATGTGTTTATTTTCTGTGTTAAAATGGGAAAGAAGATTGTTGGCACAGAGCCTAAAGTTTCTCACGCTGTTGTGAGAACTGCTGATAAAAAGAGAATGGGCCTCCTGCATCTTTTCCACCTTTTCTTCTTTCCCAGAATTGTAAGGATGAGTATTTCTAGTATTGACAATATCTTTACTATGTCAGTCATTTGTACCCTGTAGAATAATGTTAGCGTCTGCTACCATCTGTAACTGCTCAGCACATTCTTCTCTTATCTTCATTTTTAGCTGTACATCCTTGACCCCTGGACCTAGCTGTGATCGGTTTAAGCTACATATCCCTTATGCTGGAGAAACACTCAAATGTAAGTTAAAAATGATTGCTATTGTATCTTGGCCTTTCTTTCAGTAACAGTGTTCTATATCATGTTAAGTTTTCCAGTGTGTCTAACTAATTTTATGAGTTTTGAGATACCTGTGTTTGTTGTTTTTTCTTAAAGCTTCAGCTCTAAGAACATGCAACTGTAAGAGTATCTAATTTTTAAGATAAGTTTACAGCGTTCCTTGATATTACAAATTTGAAAACATCAGTCCTAAAAGCCAGAAGTCACAAATCCCGCCCCTCCAATATTTCTAATAAAATGTTATGACTAAGACAATGTCATGACCATTTTTAGACTCACTTATGATTTGTATATGCTTTGTGTTGTTTGTTTCTTCCTCTTTTAGGAAGAATTCTATATTAACCTTCAATAAAAGAAGTCAATTTGTTATTTTATTAGGTATCTCTAAACAGTAACTGGTATAATTGACCAGATTAGAGAAACGTGACTTTGGTTTTTCTGATTTAGTGTTGTGGTTAAATCCTCCTTACTCTTGGAGGATCTGTAGATAGCTGGCTCATTTGCCCACTCTTCAGTTAATCTGTGTTTTGGTTCAAAGGATTAGGATAAAATTTGCTTTTATATGTTTTTAGATGGTAAAAAGTAGTTTTCTAAACACTTGAGTTGCTGATAATCTGCGTATGAAAAATGGTAAAGTTGTGTTGTTTTTTATCTCTAACAACTGAAATAGGAAAGAGGATAAAGAATTTCAGATAGAATAATATTTAAAGCTTGGCAATTTTAGATTTAGGGCAGCACTGGTGAAACCACATCTGGAGTACTGTGTCTAGTTCTGGTCTCCGTAGTACCAGAAAGGCATGGACATATTGGAATGAATCCAGCGAAAGACCACAAAGACGACTGAGGGACTGGAGCATCTGTTGTACAAGGAGAGGCCAAGAGAGCTGGGGCTTCTCAAGAAGAGAAGGCTCAGGGCAAATGTTATTGATGTGTATAAATACCTGATGGGGGCAATGAAGAAGATGGAGCCAGGCTCTTCTCAGTGGTGGTCACTGAAGGGAAACGGTCACAAATTGAAATACAGAAAATTCCATTTAAATGTAATAAAAAACCTTTTTTGCAAGGATGGTCAAACAGTGGAACAGGTTGCACTCAGAGCTTGTGTAGCTTGTATATCTCCATCCTTGCAGATACTCAAAACCCAGCTGGACATGACCCTTAGCAATCTGCTCTTGTTGACCCTGCTCTGAGCCGAGGGATTGGACTAGGCAGTCTCCAGAGGTGCTGTCCAACCTCAGCTATCCTGTGAGTCTGTGAAAGTATTCTATCTGGAGGAGCAAGTACTTAGTGTGAACAGAAATGTTAATCATTTAAAACACTGCTTTGATAGTATCCATTTAGACTGCATCATACACATGCTATAGCTCTCCAGGACATTTTAAATATTAAGAGTGTTGTTGTATTCCTTCTGTAGTAGTTTTTCTTGTCATTATGTAGTGCACTGGAAGCCCTTCTCCTTTATGAACTGAAATCAACATGATTAAACTTCTTATCATTAAAGTACTTTAAAGCTTCCATTTGGCACCTATAAGGAAAGTTGTCATTCCCAGAAGTTGGTCTGGAAGTTTGCTCATGTGTTGGAGAGAGGAGCTAGGCTCATGTATCAGTCTACTATGACTATTTTATCTATTCTAAAAGTATGAAATCATGGTTCAAGAGGCTTACTAATCTTTCTTTTCCAAAGGGTAAAAGTGGAATATTAAGTCCTAGCTAGCAATCATTTTAAGAAAAAAAGAAAAAAAAGATGTGGCTATGCATTTATTCAGAATTTTCAGTAAGTGATGGCCGTATTCTATGAAGCCAGTTACCCTACCAGATAGTGGTTTGTTTTTTTTTTTTGTCCTTATTTAAACTTTTTTTTTAAAAATGATACTGTGTAGCAGGCTCAACCTGTTGAGTCTTGATGTGTCGTGCAATGTGTAGTAGATTCTACTTGAGACTTGTTTGATGGCTATAATCAAGATGCAGTGAAAAGAAGCTTCATTGGATGACATTGCTCTAGAGAATGGTATCATATTTTCTATGGGACTGTAGTAACTCTCTGTTTTATCACCATATGAGGCCCTATTATTACGTTCTGAGAGCTTTAAGTCTTTACTTGTTTTTAAGTGGAGGCTAGAATTGTTCCTGATTCATAAAGGAAAATTAGTAGATTAAAATGCCCATATGCGAGGACATAGGCATACAGACTACACTGATATACTAAATGACTGTAGTCCAGTTGGAGTACTAAGAAATATGATTATGAACTATGCATTAAACTTCAATATTGAGAAATCAGCTTTTTCTCCCCCCCCC